TGGAATAAAAAATACGGAGTGTATATTTACATTTAGTTAAGAGTGGCTGTAAATCATCAGCTCCAGTGGCGCAGGTGGATAAGAGCGTGTTGTTGGCTTTTTGACGCGATCGACCCGGGCTCGATCCCGCCTTTTACCGAACTTTTTTTCCCTCCCTTTTCAAATCTCGTATTAGCAATGGATTCTATTTACACTAAGTGAAAATAGCAGTATTTTTAGCAATATGCTATTTACACTAAGTGCAAATACCTAGTTACACTATGTTAAAATAGCAGGATTTCTACTATCAAGTATACTACTTGTTACAAATAGTGGCAATTCTCTGCACTTCAGTATTGTAGTACATTATAAAACAGTATGCAATAATAACGTATTGAGTGTAAATTATAATTGAAATTTAAATTATTAAATGGATGCCACCTTATTGGTACAATAAAGCCCTCCCCACACCTACCCTAACCATACCCAATACTTTATTTTCAACTTTGATTATTTCCTTCATTTTTATTGAAAATAAATGCCTTTACTATGTGATACGAGATTTGAAAAGGGAGGGAAAAAAAGTTCGGTAAAAGGCAGGATCGAACCCGGGTCGATCGCGTCAAAAGCCAAGGGCACACACTTATCCATCTGCACCACTGGAGCTGATGTTTTACAGCCACTCTTAACTAAATGTAAATAGACACCCCGTGTTTTTTATTCTAGAGTAAGAGCAATTCATACAATACATTTAAACTGAGCTACTTTAATACCATCTCCGATCTTTCTACCACGACTCTGCTGTTCTTCGGCTGGTTCTTCTCTGTATACGTTGATTGACAGATGTCTCGTCCAGTCAGCGGTGAGTAATCCCAAACCAATGGTGCTGCCTCAAACTATACCTACCTCTTCCGGTTTGTCCTTGTGTTTTCTGACTTGTTGTTGTGTTTTTTAGACTTGTATTTGCGTTTGTAATTTGTTACTTTGTTTTCAGAATTGTGGTTTGCTTTGCACTTCTCTCCTTTTGCTTTAATTACTGCCTCAATTCGGCGTGGCATGGAGGTGATCAGTTTGTGGCACTGCTGAGGTGGTATGGAAGCCCAGGTTTCTTTGACAGTGGCCTTCAGCTCATCTGCATTTTTTGGTCTCTTGTTTCTCATTTTCCTCTTGACAATACCCCATAGATTCTCTATGGGGTTCAGGTCTGGTGAGTTTGCTGGCCAGTCAAGCACACCAACACCATGGTCATTTAACCAACTTTTGGTGCTTTTGGCAGTGTGGGCAGGTGCCGAATCCTGCTGGAAAATGAAATCAGCATCTTCAAAAAGCTGGTCAAATGCACCTATACTATTTAAACTGAACTGAGCTGGATGATGACGGCACTGAATTCAATGATGAACTGCCTTTAACTGAAAATTGAGTGTTTACTATTGTCTTTATTGACACACTATTTTTCTATTTTGATACTGTAAAGCTGCTTTGACACAATCTGTATTGTTAAAGCGCTATATAAATAAAGGTGACTTGACTGACCACAGGTTCTCTATGGGATTGAGATCTGGGGAGTTTCCTGGCCACGGATCAAAAATTTCAGTGTAATGATCTTCGAGCCTCTTCTTTATCACTCTTTCTTTGTGGCATGGGGCTCCATCACCAAACTGCTCATGGGCCCATTCTATTCAGTTACGCAGTTTCTTGGGTCATCCTGTTTGGTCAATATAATTGTTATTCTGAGATCAGGTATGTCTGGGTTTTGGGATTATATGAGCATCATCATTATTATTACCTTCTCTTTTCCAGGCATGTGATGTCAGCTGACAGCAGCAGATGTAGCTGACATCCTTCTGTCACAGCGGCCAATGGCGGAGGTTTCGGCACTGAGCAGTGGTGCTCTGATGCGCCGCGGGCCCTACATCAGCATGATCACCAACCGGACCATGAACTTGCTGATCCGTGCTGCCATGCTCTTTATGGTGGGCGTGTTTCTAGCGCTCGTGCTGAACCTGCTACAGGTGCAGCGTAACGTCACTCTCTTCCCTCCCGACGTCATCAGCAGCATTTTCTCATCTGCCTGGTGGGTTCCTCCCTGCTGTGGAACAGCCGCAGGTACACAAACACACACACGACATGTTATTAGTAAGGAAACACAATTATAAGCAGTGTTTGGATGAACTGCTTCCGTCATGCAAAATGATAACAGAGGATTCTCACACAAATGAATGCTGCTGTCATTCCCAATCTATGATGACATTGCATGAGACATTTTTATTGAATGTCACACTTCTTTTTTTTCAGCATTGATAGGTTTGCTGTACCCCTGTATGGATCGTCGTCTGGGGGAGCCGCATAAGCTCAAGAGAGAGTGGTCTAATGTGATGCGCTGTGTGGCCGTCTTTGTGGGTATAAATCATGCCAGTGCTGTATCCTTCTCGTTCTTGACCTTCTCTAACAAAGTCATTCTGTCAAGCTGCAATAAATTACCGCTGTTTATGACTTAGTTTATATCTTAAAGGGGTCATATGATGTTGCTAAAAAGAACATTATTTTGTGTATTTGGTGTAATGAAATGTTTATGCGGTTTGAGGTTCAAAAAGCACATTATTTTCCACATACTGTACATTATTGTTTCTCTATGCCCCGCCTTTCTGAAACGCGTCGATTTTTACAAAGCTCATCGTTCTGAAAAAGCGAGGTGTGCTGTGATTGGCCGAATACCTCAAGCGTGTGACGAAAATATTACGCCCCTCACCATACTGTGATGATGCCCGGTCAGGCCGGAGCGATAATTCAAAAACATGAAAACCCATTATAAACGAGGCATTCGTTGCATCCAGTGGGGACATAATTATGGATTATAATTACTTATACTGTCTTTTTACGCGTTGCATTGCATCGCGCCGCGTAAACATAAAACCATGTCTGCATTTGTGATCAGAGAAATGACAAACTACAAGTGCTACTCTACACTGCCCAAAAAACTCGCTTTAAATATAAAAAAACGTACTTACAGTCTGTGAGTCAGAACAGCCGGCATTGTAGTCTACTCTACCAGGATCAGGAAACAGTCCTCCATAAAATGCGCTGGACACATCTGAATATTTGGGTTGAAGTGTTCTGGAACAGTGTTGTAAATACAACTTAACCACTGATTTCTAGTCGTGTCCATTTTTGGAAGACCAAACGAAGTAGTTTCTCTTTCACACCGAAACACAGCGTCACATACGGCGGCCTAGAGTGAGCAGAAGCCGGGGGCTAGGGTGAGGAACGGCCGGAGGGCTAGAGTGAGCAGAAGCCGGGGGCTAGAGTGTGGAACGGCCGGAGGGCTAGAGTGAGCAGAAGTGGCGGGCTTGAGAACGGTTCGGCCGGCGGATTCGACGAAAGAGGCTTGCGGCAACCACATGTGACTATGTCCATATGTGATGTCCACGGTGAAAGCCGATCCGGTGATCCAAGTATTTCCTCAGCAACCAGCACGGATCAGCTCCAGGCATGACAAAGCGGATATCATCCTCTTTTGGAAGACCAAACAAAGTAGTTTCACTTTCACAACGAAACACACAGCGCCTTCACGAAATGGTGGCGGCAACAACAACGATACTACAGCGAGAATAAAAGTTACGCCTTCTTTCTTTGTGTGAACGTTTGGGCGGCGTTATGCAAATCTTCCCACATAGTGAGGTAGATATGTGGGGGCGTGTTAGAACGAGCTGTTTTAGGTGGCATGGTTGACTCTTAACTTTTATAAAGAATATCTCTTTGGATTTGAAACTTTAGTCTTTGCAACTTTACAGATCTTCTTTATGCACCAAGAGCTTGTAACACTCCAAAGAGAAAGGAAAAATTGAAATCGCATCATATGACCCCTTTAAAGTCACCATAAAACATAGGTGAAAAATCACAATTGGGAATTACTGATGTATTTTATGTGCATCTAAAATAGCTTTTGTGAACAACCGACCTTATTTCAGGCTTTTCAAAAAAAACTCATTCAAAAACCCAATGACATCAGGACAGTGGAACCAGAAATGCTACCTTGTTTCTGGGTTTTGGCCTACAAAAATGCATCATCCCTGCTGCACTCGATTGTACAAAAACAAATTGCTCTTGTACGACTTGTTATCTTTAACACTGTTGCCAACAGAAGGTGGACTTTGCCAATAATGTGCAACTGTCGTTGACGCTGGCTGCCCTGTCTGTCGGCCTGTGGTGGACGTTCGATCGTTCACGCAGTGGTTTTGGGCTGGGAGTCGTCATTGCAATACTTGCCACACTGGCCACCCAGCTACTGGTTTACAACGGAGTCTTTCAGTGAGTTTCATACCCACCCTGTTATAAGTCTGCACAATGTAGTTACAAGTATCACCAAATGATAAAAACCTGTTCACGCCAAGAGCTGTAACTATAAGATCCACTGCTTACACTTGCATCAATACAAGCTTGTTTTGCTTGGATATTTTGTTTGGTACTTCACTGTCCATGTGTGAATGTGTGCAGATATACCTCCCCTGACTTCCTGTACATTCGGTCCTGGCTGCCATGTATCTTCTTTGCAGGGGTGATAACTGTGGGGAATATTGGACGACAGCTAGCTCTGGTAAACTCTTGCATACTTTCTCACACATGAACACACTTATAAACTCTGTTGCAAACCCTAGTGAACTTTGAACTGATTTAACACTACTGGGGTCAGTGAGATCTTTTAGGTTTTTTCTTCAAGGATTTATTAAAAGTGACAGTAAAAACATTGATTTACGTTACAAGATTTATATTTAAAATAAAATGCTGTTCTTTTAGGGTTTCTATTCAACAGCGAATCCGGTTGTAAAATATATTACGGTTTCCACAAAAATATTAAGCAGCACAACTGTTTTCAAAATTGATAATAATTTATAAAAACAAATTGTAAAATATGAAAAGGATTTCTGAAGGGTCATGTGACACTGAAGACTGGTATAATGATGGTGAAAATTCAATTTTGCAACATGAATAAATTAAAAATATATATTCAAATAGAAAACAGTCATTTTAAATTGTAATAATATTTCACAATACTAATGTTTTTACTACTACTTTTTTTAAAATCAAATACAGCCTAACAGTCTTCTTTCAAAAACACACACACACACACAAAAACTAAAATTAATAAATCTAGCCAAATCCAAACTTTTTTAACAGTAGTGTAGGTTCATTTGTTGGGTTGTGTAAGGTTTATTTATTTATAATCTCATTTATTTACAAAGCTATATATAAATGGGACATGTTTATTTGCATAACATTAAATGGAAAATTGGAAAGTTCTTAAAATTGTGAAACAGAGTTATGTTGCCTTTGAAACGCTATGCATTGCATTGATTTGTGTTTGTTTATTTGCTGCAGTACGAGTACAAAGTCAGTCAGGAAAAGACCCACCAGGATTAATGAAGAATCCTCTGCGCACACGGGAAAATCCAGGATAAAGGAGTGAGGAGTCAAGCAGGAGCACCATGACTGACAGAGCCATCCATCATTGAGGAGGAGCTGCTCTCTGTGTTTGAGGATGGACAGTGTTATGATCGGTTTTCTGCCTCCTCGGGCGCTCAGGTTGTCTAAGTGTATAACAGTAAGATATCATGTCGTCTACACACTCTCATACTGTCTTCGGCAGCACTGAAATACTACCAGCTGCTATAAAGTGCCAAACTGACTCTGACTGATCAAACCGCATGACTGGAGGCAAAGCCTGGTGTGTACAAGATGGACAAAATATTGACTGAATATTTAGATGCATTACATGCACAGACACAAAACTGAATCACAAGGAATTTTCTATATGCTCTTCCTGCTGTCTTGGCCTCCATCCTCTGTGACGGGTGGAGGAGAGTCATCTGGACAAAGCACCATCATCGGATCTCATTCGTCATACAGAAAAATCACTTATTAGAAGTAAGGAGAGTCATATAGCGTATTATGACAGGGCATCAAATCTGTTGCATGTCACTTTGTTAAAGGGCTCCTCACTTCTGCGGTGTCTCAGATCCACCACTAGTGGGCATTAGAGCATAACTGACCCGTCACCCTGTATTTGTAGATGCAGTGCTAAACACACAAAAGGCATCATATTTTATAACAGACTAAGCAGTGTGCTGTGTTCATTAGGTGGGAGGGGGAGGTTCAACAAGGTGTTGATTACTGCTCTGATCACAACTTGAATATTTTATTGTGATGCATTCCTCGTTATAACCAGATAATTACCTGCTAGACCCGAAGAACTCAGTTTTGACTGAAAGAAGCATCCCTTATCTCCAGAAATCACTTCAAGGTCTGATATAAATAGTTGGCTTCAGAATGAAATGAAAGTGATTCTTAATGACATTCCATTGATTATTACCAAAGCCTTAAAATAACAGATATATTGGAGCTCAAAGTAAAGAGGATAGAACAGGCAAACCACCATCTGTGCACTGATTTTCGACCAATTAAGGGAGGGTTTTTTTTTTTCATTGGGGGGATATTTTATGAAATGCTGAGTAGAACGCAAAATAAGTGGGATCAATGTGGTTGAAGTGTTACAATGAGATTTGACAACTTAATTGCAGACTTGCAAGAGTAATTGTACAGTTTATGTGACGTCTGAAAGCGAGCATTTTGGGATGTTTTGTCATTCATGGGCGATTACTTGATCCATGGTTTGTATTTAACCACATTTACTGTTTTTTTTTAAAGTTAAAGTTACATGTTTGTTATTATTACATCTATTAAAAGAGACTTTCTTTGAGTTTATTTTCTTTGGTTATTATTATAATGTGTTTGCATTGTTTTTCTTTTGCTTTTGTACAATCACAAAGTCATTTCAAATTAATTCAGTTAGTAAACAAACCAATACAAAATTATACTTTAATACAATTAATGCATATAAAATGTGTAATCAGTGCTTGGTAGATTACTGATTTCAAATTCCATGACAGAAATTGGAGTTAATATTAACATAATCCATTACATTACACATTTTGGTGTAATCAGACCGCTTTTAGATTACTTTTGACCAAACTCATTTATCACATTGATTTAAACCGTATAATCTTGAATCATATTGGTATAAATATACAAAGAGAAAGAAAATGTATTCCATTCGTTGTTATTAGAGCCAGGCCTCATGAAAATGCGTATAAATAGTACGCCAAATAAAAACGAAAACTCGTGGTATTGCTACGCAAAAATGGACTTTGTCGTGCATATGATACGCATGTGTTTGGCGTGCATATAATACGCAGTTTTCGCGTGCATATGATACGAAATTTGTTGGCGTGCATATTATACGCAGTTTTCGCGTACATATGATACGCATCTACCCCACAATCCTAAACCTACCCATCGCGTAGCATATACACGCCAAAGTCATAACATTGGTTATTAATGTATTACCTTACAATCTCTGGAGTACTTCAAGTAAATATATTAGGTAAAAGAATTACAGCTGTCAAAAACGTTTGGGAATCACTGCATTGCATGCAAATAAGAAATAACATGAATTTGTGCATTTAATGTGTAGCCTACTAAAGACATAGTAATGCACGGTTAAATAACCCACTGAATGATCATTCAAATAAAAATGAATGTGTTCCGCAGTAGTTGATGCAATGTTGAAATGTTGAGAAAAATACTTATTAAAATTGAAATGATTTTTGTAAATCCAATGGTCAAATGCTGTGTGTCCTCATAGCCAACCTGACTAACTGTCCACAAAACTGGAAGACTTTCTGAATGAATATAAGCAGAAGGCTATTTTAGAAGGAAACATTTAAAAAGAAGAATTAGGGAGATTTAATAAATTATGAATAATTAATGGCTATTGTGTCAATAATATGTAATCATGTAACATCTAATTACAGTAGGCCTACTTCATTTTTGGAATCTGATTACATAATTCAGATTGCATGTAATCAGTTACTTCCCAGCACTGAATGTATTCGATGAATTAGATGTTAGACATGCTAGGCTTTTGTTGTCATAGACCTTAGTCAGGGTAGCCTCATATATAATTTTGAAACCCCGGATTGCACAGATCGCTATTGGGAATGACTGAATTTTACAGAGCAACAGTAAATGTGACCGCACCTATAGACAGGGAAAACCCTAAAATAACGCCTTAAACCAGTTCATATAACCTGTTCGGCTGTTTAAATACTGTAAGTTATGTGATTTTTAATTAACTTTGGCTGCGCCAAGCCCATGACCTAACAGCACCAAATACTATTATTATATTAAGAGCACACGAGGCATTTGCACAGAAAAAATAGTGATATTGCCCTCAGAGAGCAGGTTTTTGTGACATAAATGTACAAACTAATAACAGTTTTAATGAACTGTAATTAAAGTAATGGTAATTGTTGGGTTTTTTTGTCGGTTCTGCTCAATGCCTGCTGTGACAGACATGTTTGACACTGAGGATAAGTTGTTGTTGTTGTTTTTTTTGTAATATTACTAGGTCCAAATGATTTATGGGAATTCTGAGAAGGTTGTTTAATATGATCAACTGTGTTAAATAAAGCTCGGTGTACTACACTTTTATCGATGATTAATGATTCTCTTCCCACATAAGGGAAAGCTGAAATTACCAATATTGTGGTGATCTAAGGAAAATGGCTTAAAAACATACTAAAAGTATGCGTTTTAGAAATGTTTACAAAGGGGATAGAAAATATCATTGACTGAAAGCAATGGAAAGTCCTCAACATGACATAAAAATAAGTGTGTGTGTGTGTGTGTGTTGTGTGTGTGTGTGTGTGCCTGTTTTTCTGTTCTGGTGGGGACTTAAACCTGAATACACACAGACTCATGGGGACTCGTGTCACGATGGGGACCTAAATTGAGGTCCCCACGGGTAAACAAGCTAATAAATCACACAGAATTAAGTTTTTTGAAAATCTAAAAATGCAGAAAGTTTCCTGTGAGGGGTAGGTTTAGGTGTAGGGCAATAGAAAATACGGTCTGTATAGTAGAAAAACCATTACGCCTATGGAGAGTCCCCACAAGGATAGCTGACCAGACATGTGTATGTGTGTGTGTGCTTGTGGTAGCAGATTTAGAGGGTGATGTTCATGGCTGGCTCCTCCATATCTCAGTCACACACTGACTGCTGTAATCCCACTTACCGGCTGTGTGTGTAAGTCCTCAACATGACATAAAAATAAGTGTGTGTGTGTGTGTGTGTGTGTGTGTTGTGTGTGTGTATGTGCCTGTTTTTCTGTTCTGGTGGGGACTTAAACCTGAATACACACAGACTCATGGGGACTCGTGTCACGATGGGGACCTAAATTGAGGTCCCCACGGGTAAACAAGCTAATAAATCACACAGAATTAAGTTTTTTGAAAATCTAAAAATGCAGAAAGTTTCCTGTGAGGGGTAGGTTTAGGTGTAGGGCAATAGAAAATACGGTCTGTATAGTAGAAAAACCATTACGCCTATGGAGAGTCCCCACAAGGATAGCTGACCAGACATGTGTATGTGTGTGTGTGCTTGTGGTAGCAGATTTAGAGGGTGATGTTCATGGCTGGCTCCTCCATATCTCAGTCACACACTGACTGCTGTAATCCCACTTACCGGCTGTGTGTGTTTAATCGATTTGACTGTGTCAGTATGTGTGTGGTCTCATGTAACTGCTCAAAGCCTGAACAACCAGTCATCACTAACTCTCCAAGGACAGTTCTCTGACTTGTGTCTCACACACACACTCTGCCTCGTTCTGTAAAGGTTAATGCAGAAGATCTGCTTTAATCCATTCTGCTCAGTTGCAGAGAGTGTGAAGGAAGTGTGAACCAGCGCTTTCACCCACTGATCTCACACACCTGTTTGCCATTTATCTCTCCTCTTGACTTCTGAATTCTGACTCCAGCTGAGATTTTCATTTTCTGTTTTTCACCAATTTGAAGAATGTATCAAATTGAATGATGAATGGAAGGATTGTTTTGTGGTACAAGAAGGAACTCACCAGTGTGTTTGGAAATCTGTACGTGAATTTTCTATAAAGGCTTTGAGAATATTTAACAACAAGACACCTAAGATAAGACATTTTAGCTGAAATGATGAAAGGGGAGACGTATCTCTCTGTGGGATGATTTGTAAATATCAATTTCTGTATAAACACAAACCTTAAAGGGATGGTTCACCCCAAAATTAAAATTCTGTCATCATTCACTCACACTCATGTCATTCCAAAACCATAAGACTTTCCTTCATCATCAATGAAGACATTTTTAATATTCTCTTATAATTTTCCATCCATTGAATTTTCCACGCAATTAAACATTTGATGCATCAAAAAGTTCATTAAGACCTTATAAAAAGCAATCCATATGAATCAAGCAGTTTAATCCAAGTTTTATGAAGAGAAATTATCGCTTCATATGATGAAGAGATCACATAGGCTTTTATTTATAAACACTGATCAACACACATACATGGAGCTCATCAGATATTATAAACATGAAAGCTTGACACATGACTCACGAGAACTCAAGTCAAGCATGGTTGAGCTTCTGTGTTTACCATATTTGATGAGCTCTATGTATGTGCGCTGATCAGTGTTTATTTCAGGGTAATGTCTTCTTTTTCTGTATATAAGCCCTATATCTAAACCTTATTTATTTATTTACATACATTTACTTATTTATATGCATGTATTTACATTAATTGACAAACACTGTAAGGATTTTTTTTCAAAATAGTAATTAAAACCAGTTATTGGAGTATGTTTTACAAGAAAAAGCGTTTTTTCTAGTTGGAAAATGTCACTCTAAAAAAATGCTGGGTTAAATACAACCCCGTGCTGGGTAAAATAGGGACAAACCCAGCAATTGGGTGGTTTTGACCCAGCAGTTAGGTTAAACGTTTAACCCAACCTTCTGGGTAACCCAACCGCTGGGTCAAAACAACCCAATTGCTGGGCTTGTCCCTATTTTACCCAGCACTGGTTTGTATTTAACCCAGCATTTTTTAGAGTGCACTTTTAATAGAATTTGTTACTTGTAAAAAAGATGAGAACGCCCTAAACATACCTGATCCAAACATACAGGACAATCCATCATTCCTCATTCCTTACAAAGCATCTCTCAAACGAATAATGAATATAGATGTGTGTTGTTCACAACCTCTCGGTGCAAACACTGCACTCTAAAAAATGCTGGGTTAAATACAACCCAGTGCTGGGTAAAATAGGGACAAACCCAGCAATTGGGTTGTTTTGACCCAGCAGTTTGGTTAAATGTTTAACCCAACCTTCTGGGTAGTAACCCAACCGCTGGGTCAAAACAGCCCAATTGCTGGGTTTGTCCCTATTTTACCCAGCACTGGGTTGTATTTAACCCAGAATTTTTTAGTGTGTGGTCTTGATCTGTGCTCACTCTGATCTCCAGACATCAGATCTGCGCTCCTCTACAGTATCTGAGCACTAAAGGCTGCTTAGACGCATCAAACATTTGTACAGCGGGATTGTTTTCCTCTCGGGTGCCTGTCTGACGGTTGCTTCTGACTCCTGACCGTGAAAGTGTGCTGTTAAATGTACACTGTAAGAGAGCAGCAGGTGCATGGAGATTGACAGGAGGTCTCGTTCTCCTCGCTACGCGACTGATCACGGAGGGGGTGAATCTGAGGAGTTAGCTGAAAATCTCCTGCACTGGAGACAGTGTGTATTTCTAATGGGCTTACAGGGGCTCTGAAGTGGAAATG